TGCAATGTCAATCAGCAGTTTGATACATATCACTGGCTAATGATGGCCCTTCTGTATGCAGTATGCCCCTCCCTCTAATGTTCCCCACCTTAAATAAATCCTAGAATCACCCCTGTCACTGTGGTCTCTATCCGGCACCCCCGCAGTGCCGTGCAGTGCCGTGCAGTGCCGTGCAGACATAAGCTCGCCGGCAGGTCCGGCGCAGACTCCAACACGACCCCCCCGGGTACGAGTCCCAGGAGGCTAAAAACGCTTTGCTAATGAGGCGTGACAATCAAGCTGTAAGCTGGGGGAAAAAATGCATCTCCACAAAGGAACAAAACCTTCTACGGGACGACAGGAACGTGCAGCGTTCAGGCCAAAAGCAGCTGTGGTCCTTAACCCCATGCTGGCCTCACACACACACACATACACACACACACAGACACACATACGCAGACACTCACTCACACACACAGACACACATGCACACACACGCAGACACACAGACAGACACACACGCACACACACGCACAGACACACACAGACACACACACACACACAGACTCAGACACACACACACAAAGCAGGGGGAGACTAAGGAAAGGCCTTCTAGGTGATATTTAATAACAATGAATAATCTATGATTTCTGCTCAACCATCACTGGTATTGTGTCACATCTACTGAGCAGCATCAATGGGCACGATGATGAAGAAAATGATCTGAATAAAAGATGATAGACATGTTTCATTTATATAGTGCTGATTTGACATGTAGACACCAAGTGGCAGTTTGCAATCTCAATAAATTAGCTCTGCAAATGTCTGGGGTTTTGTGCATAAATATAAAGAACATTGGTGGTGGAATGTGGCCAAGAAATCGGAGAAACACCTGCATTGTCAATCCGTCTCTCTCCCTCAACAACCGAAATATCAATTATATCCATAACAATTTTATTTCAAATGCTGAAACGAAGTCTTTCCACTGAATCCTGAGAAAGATCTCTCTCTGAGGCCCAGAACCTGGGATCTTATTCAATGGTAGTTTGATAATACTACTAGTAAAACTCCTTTGGTAATACTCATTATTGTCAAAGAGCCAATGTATCATCTGTTAAAAGTATTCAGAATAGCTGAGAAGACATCCTATTACAATTTATTTATAACAACTAACAAGATCAAATGGGGTAAGTTAATCTAATTACATGGTCATTGTTATTGGATTATTGATCATTTTTATGTCATTTATAACTGTTATCCTGAGAAACTTACATTTAAATCGCAAGATACAGGTGCCAAAAATGCAGAGCAGCATCTTCACAAAAGAGCATAGATGCACATTAACATCTCCTACTCTGGAGTAACCTCGTCAACTTCATGGGTACCAAATCCAGGAGGCCCGCTGTGATATTTAAGACAGGATGTCTGCTGGCAACTGAAATTCTAACACCACAGCCCGTTGAGAGCTCGGTGACGTGCACACATTTTCCGAGGGACACGTTTCATGTTTATGTTGAGAATCAGTCAATTGCTTGATGCACTCAACTGCTGAACCTGGGCAGGTTAGATCTTTACGTAGAGGAGCCAGCTGTCAGAATCGGGACAGAACTGGGGCTGTGGGAGTTTAAACATGCAGTACTGAGGCCCTGGTCTGCTGGTCAGGGTTACAGAGCCAGACTTCATTGACATTCGCACAATAGAGCGTTATAAAGCTCTTGTTAAAGAGAGAGACACCCAGAACAGACACAGGACCAGTGGTACCAGAGCTGGGTCCAAATGTATGGAAAATGATGAACAATAGTGGGCTAAGCCATCTAAAGAGACTCATACGACAGCCACCGCGGCTACTTGGGAGGCCAAAGTAACTTGCACTGGGGGCGATAGATGGCTGCGTCTCTCATCTCCAGCCAGAATCCATCACCACATCTCACATCTGCCAAATTAATGAACAGATTCGCAGACTGCAACAGATTCAACTGGTTTGGGGTTTAACTGTTTGGGAATATTTTGAGTGACCTATGTAATCATGGCATTGTGTCTTTCAACGATATCATTTTAGTTGCTCTATAGCACGTGTCAAACTCCAGTCCTGGTGGGCCGGAGCTCTGCACATTTTTGGGTTTCCCCTCATTTAACACACCAGATTCAACTATTTGTGCTAATTACCACTTAGCTCTTGAGCTGAATCATTTGTGGTGGAACAGGGAACGAACTAAGCTACACAGGGCTCCGGCCCCCCAGGACTGGAGTGAACTAAGCTACACAGGGCTCCGGCCCCCCAGGAGTGCAGTTTGACACCACTGCTCTACAGGGACTGGAGTTCAGGCAAAGTGCCAACAGAAGTTCAGCTACGGGAAGCGGTCAACGCGACATGTGGCCTAAAAAATGGCTAACCTTCTTTCCCCTGGCAGCTCTTGAGCTTCTTCAAATGACAAAATGAGTGTGTTACACTGCTTCAGAAAGAGCTTCAGAAAGAGCTTCATCAGAGCAGACACTGCACCCTGAAGCTGAACAGGCACGCGGTCCACTTCGGGAACATCGCCCATGTGCCGTTTTGTTTTGCCATTTTTGCTCGCATTAGCGGCATCTCGTCTTATCCCGCAGCTTCCGCAGTGTAGAGGACTCGGCCGGGCACAAGGAACTCCTGATAGAAAGTTTGGCAGGCGCTGACGGACCCTCTGCCGACTAGCTCCGCCCTTGGAGAACTCGCCAGACCTTGCGGAGTAAAACAAACAATAACAGGGCACGTTTATCTCCACGACCATCTGGTCTCCCTTTTGTAAAGTCCCAGTGGCGCTGGGAACGCTCAGCCCCCCCCCCCCCCCCCATCCACTGCAGGTTCGGCCTGCCAACCTCACAGGCCGCAAAGGAACAAAAATGCATTTTACTCCCATTTCCTGCAGCCTGTGACAGAGAGCGAGGTCAGAGCTACACCTTGGTCGCGGCTCCCAGAGGCAGCCGCTACAAAAACACCGCTCTCATGAATCAAAAGGAAGCAAAAACCTACTTAAAACCGATCACAAAATGAGTAATTAAGATAATTGTGGACTCTGTTCCAGGGGGAAGAGCACAAAAAACCCTAAACAAACTGGTTTCATACTATTTCTGTATCTTTTTCTAAAATACCTTTTAATTTCGTTTCCCCACAATGGACGTGATAAAACAAGTTTGGAATTCCAGTCTAAACTGGCAGAAATAAGCCCATAAAATCAGACAACGTGACCCATGATTCTGAGGCAAAATACCAGGCAGTCAAAATATTTTAAACTTTTTTTAGCAGTGTGCCAAGCAACCAGCAGTGCCCCCCACCATGCAATCAGTGCATGGGATGGTTAAACTCTGCTCATTGTTTCCGAAATCACAGAAAGTCAGTGCAACCCACTCATCCTTTCAGCCTGGATTTGATAATCGTGCTCTAAATACCTTAGAATCTTGAGAAGTTTCTCACCTTAAGGCCCATTCAAACAAGACCGAAATCAGATTTTATACTGAGGCTGAAATCAGAAATGTTATTTGTCACTGGGAATGCACTGCTGCATGGTCGGTTTAATTTGTTTTATGCTGACGTAACTGTACTATGAACACCAAAGGACTAAACTCTCTTCCCAGCTTTCACAAAGGCCGGATTGGAGATGTGGTCACACACACGCTTATGAAAACCTCTAAAAATGTTGTGTAATTTCAATGTAATAATTAAAAACACATTTTCAAGTAAACAGCAGTGATATCATTTGGGTATGGTTGAAAAAAAAAAGAATTTATAAACATGTACCATCAAACCTATAATAACAGAAAATGTTAGCTTCAAGAGGAACTTTCCAATGCTTATATATAACATCACATTTGTTTTTCATTTAAACAGTGGCAAGGATTCAGTCACACAAACCAGGTCTAGAATTTCTCAATTCTGCTTCAGAAAATTTCCTTCATCCCACAGGGAAGATTGAACACAACGTTCAGGATGCCCTGTGTCGAGCTGGGGACCCTTAGCAAACTCCAAATCTTCCCAGTATTCTGATCACATCACACCCCCAGTAGCATGAGAATTCTGGTCCTGCACATGCATCACGTGATCTTGTAGGACATCCCAGTGTTCATGGCTTCTGTTCTGTCCCTAACTCATCGGTAATCTATGCGCATGGACCCCTTTAGACCATTCAACAGCACCTCCAGCTCGCATCACTGCATTTAGTTCCAAAGAACAGCCCACAAATGAGTAAAACCATACAGCATCCACTGAAGCGCACAAAGCGTCTTTTCCTCCTATCGCTAATCGACATATATCATGCTTTAAGACCGTAAAGCCGTGCAACATGATTAATGGCCAGGATGAATAAAACTGTTTCTCAAATTCCTCTCATGCAGGCTAATGCAGTTTACGCTCAGTAAGAGAGGATACTGGATTCCAGCAGCAGGACCCCAGGGAAGTACAGGATGCCCTGTGCTCACTTCCCCTTCCTCGAGTATTCACACAAACGACTCGGTCATTGTGCGAGCCTGGCCGTTTTTGGGAACTGGAACAATGGCTTTGTCGCCAAAACAATGCTTCTCCACTACGAGAAGCCGGGCAGAAATAAAACCCGGCGACTAGAAAATCACGGGACTTTGAAACACTGAATGATACCTAGTGCATTTCCATCCACTTTCTATGCCGCTTGTCCACTGCAGGATGGCAAGGCAGTGAATAATCCAGGATGGGGTGCCAACTCATCATAGGGCACACACACCATTCACGCCTACGGGCAGTTTCCAGTTCACTTTAGCAAGATTGTCGACTGTGGGGGGGGGGCAGTTGACATGCAAACATGCAAGTACCAGAGACTCAAACCCCAGTCTCAGTAGGGTCAGGTAACATTGGTTACTGCTTTGCCACTGTGTCACGCCTGAATCTACCATTTGTAGATTTCACAGATTTTTATTTTTTTTTCCCGGAGAGGCATGCGGTTTATTCCATCCGCTCCCATCAGAGGCCAAAGTAAAAAAAAAACAACAAAAAAAACAAAAGAAACGGCATGACTCACCTCGGCTCTCTGCGTTCTGGGCAAGCTGGCGCCGGCTTCCACCGCGTAGACGTCCACCAGGTAGATGTCAGGACCCCGTTCCCTGTCCAACTCAGCCGCCGTCTCGATGATGCCGGTGAAGCGGCCGACAGTGAAGAGTCGTCCCACAGGCTGAGCACCACTCTGCACCGACACGATGTAGAACTGCACCTGGCTGCCAACACCACGTGGGCTAGAGGCATCCACAGAGATGACACTTGTTCCTGGGGGCTGATCTTCCCTCAGAGCAGCGACGTACCTGGGCTGGGAGAACACAGGACCATCCCCACCCCGCAGGATGACAGTCATGTCCGTCTGGGAGGCCTTCCTGTCTGCCCCACGATCAGTAGCCAGCATGGTCAGGTTGTAGACCAATCGCGAGGGCAGCAGAGGGGACACCACTCGAATGTCCCCAGTGTAGCGGTCTACAATAAAAGTATCAAGGTCGCCACTCACTAATTCATACTCGACTTCTCCATTCATCCCCTCATCGGGGTCAAGGGCCACCACCTTGGTGAGAACCGAGCCAACAAACATGGTTGATTCAGCAACCAGTGCACTCTGAGAAACAAACACAGGGGCGTTGTCGTTCTGATCCGTGACCCAAACAGTCAGGTTTTTTAAGGCAAAATGTCGGAGATCCGTTGGAATAGCCTGGTCAGTTGCTTTGACTATTAGTTCAAAAAGATTTGAAAATTCCCTGTCAATCTCTTTATTTGTGTAAATGACCCCAGTTACAGGATCTATCTTGAAATGGTTTCCTCTTGGAGTCTGTTGAACTATGGAATATTCCAGTTGGCCATTGACATCAGAATCAATGTCATGTGCTGTGACAGTCATTATGGAGGTTGCAAGTGGCAAGTTTTCTGAAATGGATTTGAAAATATCTCCAGACATAAAACTTGGGGAATTATCATTACAGTCTATAACATTTATAATTACAGGTATTGATGAGTACCTAGGTGGTCTTCCATTGTCCTGTGCCGTTACGTTAAATTTATACAGCATCTGTGTTTCAAAATCCAGCTTCTTGGCTAAGAAGATACTTCCAGTTTTGGCACTAATACTGAATGTCCCCCGATTATTGGATGCTGTGATACTGTAGCTTAACTCCGCATTGTCCCCAGAATCAGAGTCAGTAGCTGTTACAGAGGCCACAAGCTCTCCAATTCGCATGTTCTCATTAACATCAGTGGTCAGTGTAGACTTAGGGAAGACAGGCAAGTTGTCATTTTCATCCAGAACAAAGATGTTCAGCAAGCAAGAAGAAGAGAGGGGCACCATTCCTGAATCTACTGCTATAATTTTGAGCGAGTAAGAGGATGTTGTTTCGTAATCGAGTCTGTCCACCAGCGTCACTTGGCCAGAGCTGCCATCAATGGAAAACGTAAGTCCTTCGGTGCCTCCCTCGATATGGTAGTGAATGAGTCCATTTCTACCCTCATCAATATCTGAGGCAGAGACACGCACTAACTGTGTCATGCTCTGAGCTAACTCTGACACAGATACCTGATAGACGTCTTTAGTAAATATGGGGGGGTTATCGTTGACGTCTTGTATAAACACTTGTACTTTGGCCTGGTCAACCAGGGCCCTTGGGAACCCCTGGTCTGAGGACGTGATGGAAAAACTGAATTTTGCAGCACCTTGCTGTCTCACCAGTGACTCACGGTCTAGCCGCGCTGTGCTAGTTAACACCCCGGTGATAGTGTTGAGTTCAAAGCTTGGCTGTGGAGTCTCAAGGGAAAAGCGAATCTCACTATTTAATCCATAGTCCTTATCATCTGCAAAGACCTGCCCAACAACAGAGCCCCTCTGCTGCTCTTCCTCAAAGTAAAACACATAACTTGTACTGTTAAAGAGGGGTCGATTGTCATTGACGTCTTCCAGAACCACAGTGACATTGACGCTGCCACTTAGCGGTCTTGTGGCTCGGTCTGTAGCCACTACCAGCAGCTGATACTGGTTCCTGACCTCTCGGTCTAACTCTGCTCTAACAAACAACTCTCCGTCTGGAAAGATGCCAAACACACCACCAGTGTTTCCGCCAGTGATTTCATATGTAACCTCCCCATTCAAACCAGAGTCTTTGTCAGTGGCCTTCACACAAAAAAACCTGCTGTTCACTGGCTCTGACTCTAAAATAGTGACCTCATATGACAGCTGCTCAAACATGGGTGAGTTGTCGTTAATGTCATGAACATTGACCATGACAATCAGAGAAGAGGCACGTTGGGGGACACCCAGATCAGAAGCCAGAACTTCCACTTGAAAGGAACTGGTTGCTACAGTCGGAGGCCCCCTTAGTGTGATTAGGCCGTCTTGTTCCTGGATCTGGAAGAGGCCTTTGTGATTCTTCTTAAGACTATACACCACCCTGCCATTGGGGCCCTCATCAGGATCCACAGCTTTAGCTTGAAATATGGGATGTCCTGCCGCCCAGCTTTCCATCACACTCACATTCGCAGATGTGTGCAGGAAATGGGGGGCGTTATCGTTCAGGTCCTTAACAGTAATGTTTACCAGGGCCTGCCCTGTCACCTCTCCACCCCGTGCAATCACTTGGAGCTGGTGAAATGGCTGCTCTTCTCTATCAATGACTCTGTTTGTGGTTATTTGACCAGTGATGTGGTTTATTAGGAAAATCCCCTTTGGGTCACCATCAGTGATCTGATATGTGACATTGTTGATGGAATCGAGTGAAGATGCGGACACTGTGCCAACTATAGAGGAAACTGGGATATTTTCAAAGATCACAAAACTATACGCACTGTGGATGAAAGACGGAAGGTTGTCCTGGTCATCAACAACAGAGATAATGACGGTGGCTTCAGGGAGAGAATGAAGGCCGCCTCCATCAGCTGCTGACACCGTTAGCTCGTAGGTTGTGCCATCTTCTCTACTGAGGGACTGCTGCGTGGTAATTCTGCCTGTTTTGCTGTCTATGTGAAATCTGACCAGGTCACCAAGCGTAATTGTGAACTTGACTGTTCCATTCCTGCCAAGGTCTAAGTCTGTTGCCTTAACTGTTGTGACATGCGTGCCTGGAGGTTCATTCTCCTTGATGTTGACAAAGTATCGCACAGGGTAGAATGTGGGCCGGTTGTCATTGACATCCTTAAGGGTTATATTCACTTTCGCAATGGAAGCCAGTGATGGAACTCCCATATCGGTGGCTTGGATACAGAGCTCATAAGAGGCCTGCTGTTCTCTGTCCAGAACCCTGGCCGTACTCAGTCTGCCAGACGCCGCATCCAGACTGAAAAGGTCCTGGAGGTTGGGTGGCGTGGCGGAGTCAAAGGAGAAACGGATAGTCCCATTGTACCCCAGGTCGCTGTCCGTAGCCAACAACACCAGGAGCTCACTATCAGCGGGTGAGTTCTCTAGCAGGAAGACGTGGTAATTTTCCTGCGTGAACATGGGGATTTGATCATTGACATCAGCGATATTCACCACCAGTGTAGCATATGAGACCTTAGGCTGCATGCCGTGGTCTCTGGCACTAATATTCAGTACAACCTGTGATGCAGTTTCCCTGTCCAGTAACGCAGCAGTGGTGACCAGACCACTGTTCTCACTGATTGCAAACCAGCCCAAACTGTTTCCAGACACCAGAGAGTAGCACAGATTGGCATTCTGCCCCGAGTCGCCATCTGTTGCAGAAACACCTTCAATGAAGCTCCTTCTAGGAACATCCTCACTGATGTTGACCCTGTACACAGCCTGCTGGAACACTGGAGGGTGGTCATTGGTGTCATTTATGTAAATCACCAAGCTAGCAATCGAGGACCTGGCTATGGGTTTCCCGTTATCAGAAACAGATACAGTGAAGTTATAAGAGGAAATGCGCTCCCTGTCTAAGACACTGGCCACTTTTATAAGGCTCAACTTTGGAATTGGGGAAGAGTAAACATCAAAGTGACCCTGCTCATTCCCTGCTAAAATCGACACGGACATATTCCCATTCGCAGAGTCAGAGTCCAAATCTGAGACGGTCAATAGAGCAACCACTGTACCAATGACTGCATTTTCATCAACGGAAGCGAACTTTGAGCTGGGGGGGTAATACCTGAATTTAACCATGGGGTCATTATCATTGACATCTAAAAGTGTAATATTTGCCTCACAGCGACCTGAAAGTCTGGGGACTCCACTGTCAAAAGCATGAATGGTCAAAGAGTACTGCCGTCTGCTCTCGTAGTCAAGAGCTTCCTTTATAGTAATAATACCAGTTTTAGGGTCAATTGCAAAAGGTGTACCTTCCTCTAAAAAGTATCTGATGTCTGCATTTGCCCCCTCGTCAAGGTCTTCCGCTGTGACCTGCAAAACACTGAAGCCGACTGCTGTGTCTTCAAAAACACTATTCTGGTAATGATCCTGATTAAAAATGGGAGGGTTATCATTTGTATCCTGAATAGTGACGTTTACCTGCAAGTAACCAAATCTCTTAGGATCACCTCTGTCTTCCACTTCAATCAAGAGCTGATAACATGGTGTCAGTTCCCTATCTAAACCCCCAGTTGAAACCAAGTGCAGAAACGCTCCTTCCCCACTTGGATTAACTGTAATATCCAAACGAAACTTTTCCTGTTCGTTTCCGCTCGCTATTCTGTAGCTTGTATGATCCACTCCGTTACTTCCGATGTCAGAATCCGTGGCGGTGTCCAGAATGACCTGCCTGCCGCTCCTGGAATCTTCTTTAAAAAACACAACGATGGAAGCGTCGGGGAAAACCGGCGCGTTGTCATTTATATCCAAAACCACAATCCTGACTTCAGTGGGGTAGGTAGGTTGACTGGACAGAACCACAACGTTGATAACGTCACTCTGCAAAGCCTCCCTGTCGATGACAGACGTCGTGTAAATTGCACCTGTCGTGTCGTTGATTGCAAACATTCTATGGTTCTCGCCGAAGCGGTAGGTGAAGCCCGGCTTTCTGTCTATGGCGCCCACGTACGAACCGAGCGGCTGCTCCTCCAGCACCTGGAACTCTTGGCGGACGTGTCTGGATGTGCAGTTTTTCCATAAAGTCCATTGCATTAATAGCATCAAATAAAGCCCCCTCAAAAGCCTACCTGAAATGGCCATGGTGAAATTTCCAGTCCACCTTCCCGGGACAAACTTCTTGCCGGTTATGCATCAACTTCGTCTGACTTACCCAAAATGTAAATCAAAAAGGATTTATTCTAATAGTGCTGTACGGAATAATTTCATTCACTGCGGGCGAATTATGCGTGCATCCCTTGTACAATTTTAAAAGCGAAATTCAGTTCATTTTATACCACTTTATTCCTGTGGTAGAAAAATAAAAATAAAAAAAGTCAGGAGATGTTGCGCATCCTTTTAAGGCAAATCCCAAAAGCGGTAGATCCGTAACTCTCTGCACTCCCCAAAGTTGATCATTTCAAAACACTTTTGTTAATGTTAATATTATAGTGAGAAGATTAAATCCGATTTTCCGTTCCGCGCACTGTTTAGCGCAAACTGCTTAACGCGGCGCCTCATAAAAGTAAAGGATTAGTGGAAGCCTGTGCCTATAACATTAGTTTATCTTTGTAGATCCCTGTTTCTCCCGTGCATGTGGGTTAAAATAACGGTATGAAGAGTCCGGTCATTTTAGCGGGGGCTGATCGGTAACTTTCTTACTCTGGGAAACGTTCCGCCCACCGGCGTCTCCATTGGTGCGACATCCCTGTAGCGGCACTGCTCTGCTTAAACTTGGCATTAATAACTTTAATGAATTAACTTATACAAGGTTATATGCTGACCCCTTAAGGTCCCTAAAATGAAAGATTTTTCCCTCTCCCTGAATGGCATTAAGAAAAACTGAAAGTAAGGATAAATCCTACTATAACAAAGTGTGGGTGTTTCTTTTCGAATACGTGTGGTTACTCATCATTATGTTCATTTATTCCAACTTGAACAAGTTCACCTGACATTTACTTACAATAAAAAACATGACGTGGTATATGCCTGATCTCTTCGCGTCTGAAATCAGAATCAGAATCTTTTTATTCGCCAAGTACAGAGAAGTACAAGGAATTTCTTTTGTTGCGGGTGGTATCATCATATAAAAAATACATATACAATACACATAATACAAATAAACATCTAAAGGTAAAGGTACAAGGAACTGTGGACAATATAAATAAATAAATAAATAAATAATGGATGGATGGATGTAATGTGCAAAGAGCTTAGGTACAGTGCAGGTGAGTTCAGTTAGTTAAAATATGATAATGAAGAAAACACAACTTAAACACCCTTTCAAATATGCATCTTCGATCCCTGGCTTCCAACTTTATGTCGGTAATAATAACCAGCATGTTCCCTTAAAATGACACTGGTTTCACTGGGGTGCCTGATTTGTGTTAAAGAGTTGCACTGATTTGTTCAATCGCATTCACCTGATTGGGCGAAACAGCGATAAAATGGACAAATACCGCCATCTAACGTCCAGAAGAAGCTATTGCTTCTGGCTACCGGCAGGAAGAAGAGGAAATTCCTTTGATTAAGGAAAACGAGTTTCAGACCTGCAAGTCTTCTTGTAATTTAACTACATTTTAATTAGCAGATTATTATGAAATGTACATAAATAATGGCTTGGCTTCTTTATTTTTACATGGTGATACACTGTTAAAAGTTAACAGTTAAGTTTTACTCGCGAACAAGCCCCGTAGCGTTTGCCTTGCGTCAGTCATTGTCAAGTGTATTATGAGACATTTCATTGCACCATTATGTTCAAAGTCATGGTCAAACCTGGATGTTTGTCCCAATTCCTTAATTTGGACTGAAATATGAGACCTAAATCTGTGCATGTGCCATAGAGATAGTGGGACTCTGCATACAATCCAATGTAATGGTGGTAATCACAGTAGGAACATACAAACATTCATGTCATAAATCATTATTTTTGGAAAATCACCAAATTCCACTTTACTGGTTTCATTTCATTTGGCATAGTAAAAACCCCGCAGTCGCCTCCCGCCTAAAACTACCAGCGTTTCATAGCCCGTCATTGTTGTGCACGTGATTTTATTCATACGACGTACTGGTCGTTGCTCTTTACAAGTAATTTTTTGTCTCGATCACATTATACCGATATGATTATTCTACCAGCTCCAGTGAGGAAATGTTTAATGATAAAAAATAAATGCTTTTCGGGGGGAAAAATCTTTTCTATTGTTGAAGCAAATGGATTAAACGAACAATAGACCCATAAATACAATTCCTTTCTGGAAGCCTTTTTTGCACGAACACATTAAGTATATTTGACTTAGATGTGATACTTTTAAACACGGATCCAGTTCTGCTAAATGCAGTTTAGTGCTTATATGGCTCTTCATGGCTGTTAACAATGCCTGTCGACGTCATACTGCTGTCACAGCGCCGAGCGAGGTATTCACCTGGAATTACTCTGGTGAAATACCACAATAAATATGCACTTAGCACATTAACTTGTGTATATATTTTTTGTTATCTTGATCGTTCTTGCTTGCTTTGCATGTCATCCCAAAATAAATTCTGCATTTTTTTGCAGATGTAAAAGTACTTGCTGTTAAATTTTCCGGTAAAAAAAGCTGGCCTTGGAGAAAAACATCAACTGTGCATCATAGAAGTCAAATATATATGTAAATATAAGACAACTCGGTACAGAAAATGGATGTATGGATGGATGGATGGATGGATGGATGGATTCGGCTTAGTTTTGAAAACTCTAAAATAACTGCAAAGCTTTGCCTTTTGGCTCAGCTCCTTCATCACCATGACAGACCGATGCAGCGCCCATATCACTGCTGACGCTGCACCGATCCGCCTGTCGATCTCCCGCTCCATCGTCCCCCCACTTGTGAACAAGACCCCAAGGTACTTAAACTCCTCCATTTGGGGGAGGACCCCATCCCCGACCCGGAGAGAGCATTCTACCCTTTTCCGGCTGAGGACCATGGTCTCGGATTTGGAGGTGCTGATTCTCATCCCAGCCGCTTCACACTCGGCTGCGAACTGTCCCAGCGAGAGCCGAAGGTCACAGTCCGATGAAGCCAACTCTGCAAAAACCAGAGACCTAATCCTGAGGTCACCAAACCAGACACCCTCAACGCCATGGCTATGCGTAGAAATTCTGTCCATAAAGGTTATGAACAGAATCCGTGACAAAGGGCAGCCCTGACGGAGTCCAACCCTCACCGGAAACAAGTCCGACTTATTGCCACCCATGCGGACCAAGCTCTGGCACTGGTCATACAGGGACCGAACAGCCCTTAGAAGGAAGCCCGGCACCCCATACTCCCGGAGCACCCCCCACAGGACTCCCTGAGGGACACGGTCGAATGCCTTCTCCAAGTCCACAAAGCACATGTAGACTGGTTGGGCAAACTCCCACGCACCCTCCAGAACCCTGCGGAGAGTATAGAGCTGGTCCCCTGTTCCACGGCCGAGGCGAAAACCACACTGCTCCTCCTGAATCCGAGGTTCGACAATCCGGCGGACCCTCCTCTCCAGAAGCCCCGAATAGCAGGGAGGCTGAAGAGTGTGATCCCCCTATACTAAGCCGAATCGTTTATGATTAATTGCTCTCAGGGGCTGCCAAAATGTCTGACTTTTCGATTTCCTGACGTGGCCTGGCCACTGCAGATGATATTACTCTTTTTTTTTCCTTTAAACATGCCAGTATTATATAGTAATAACACAGATACGGGAGGCTGAACAGCTGGGCAATGTATCGTGAATATCGCATGGCATTTCACGTGTATGGAAAGGATGCATATTTCTGTGGCCCTTTACTGCCCCCTGGCTGTGGGGTGGAGTAGGGCTCCCTCAGTATAGCAGTATTGCACTCTGAGCTTATGTGTAGCATATACCTTTATAGATACCATACCAGAAAAAAACAGGACCTGGGATCCCAAGTGTCCAGCAAAGCCACATGAAGTTCTCTTGCGCTATGCTGGTATTTTTCTGGCCTTGAGGGCTGGATGGAGACGTTAGGTAACTGAAATATATGAACTGCAGATCGAGGCCCTGATGCATCACAGCTAAACGGCACCTAAGCCAAAAACAGCTGTGATTAATTGCAATGCTTTTATGCACAAAGCTGAAAAACTTTGGAATCACTGAAACACACTTTAAAAAATCTTTAACTGTGACATCAACAAAAATTTCTCGTTTTGAATTCATTGTAAATTCTTCTTGGAGTGATAGTCTCAAACAATACAAATATACGTGTAATACCTGTATTTGGAGAAAAACAAATAAAAATAACTGAATAAAGACACCCTTCTTCTGCGGGGCAGATGCAGACTGGAAAGCAATTAAAGTCCACAGAACATAAACTGTGATAGTAGAGTATTAATAGGCTATTATGTAAAAACAGTTTTGTTAGCAGTTAAACCTGTCAACATCCTATAAAAGTAAAACCCAGGCATGAGAGGGTAGATCTGAAACTCTAAACAGGCCAGTCGCAAGTGGAAAAGCGCTCTAATGCAAAGCAGACATCCTCGCGGAATCATCTGCTGTCATCACCCACTCAAACTATTTCACACAAAACTAAGGGCACCTACAATCTGGCACTTATTTAGCCAATGGAATGGCAGTCATATTCATGAGTTTTCAAAGGACATTTACACCCACAAATGACTGAAGTGCTTTACTTATGGAGCAATTGCCATAGTAACTAGGAGAGTGTTCAATTAACAGCCAGTAACCCGACGGCACGGAAGCAGGCTAACGTGAACTTGGGGGTTGAGTCGATTGGCAGGGTACAGTATAGCACCAAGGATGCAGTGTGCAGTGTGCAGTGTGCAGTGTGCTGTAGGCACCAGCTAAGATTCCATTATAAACCAGACAGTGGAGGCATATCATGCACCATTACTCAGGGGCTGCACTCAAAGGCCAGGTGTGTCACAGCAGCGCAGTGAGGCTGTCCTGTTCGGAAGGCTCCTTCAAATGAATCATCCTTTTGCAGTGTTGCGAAGGACTCATCCAATGGATCCTTTGTACCTAAACAAAGGTTCCTTGCACAGATAAAGTGGGCGCATCCCAGCAGTGAGATGAGAGGGGCACGCTGTGGCTGAAGGGCAAGGGCAGGAATACCTGGTGGCAGCCAGACCAGGCGATTTGTCAAAGCTTTGTTAGCCCCTTTGAACACAGCCTGCGAAGACCACGCCTACATTCCGTGAAGGATGCAGCCCCTGAGTTCAGAGCCGTTGTTCGGCATCAGGCTTGTTTATTCCTGTATGTGTCCCAAGAGTCTGTTATGATCCCATAAGGGGAAGTGACACTATAGGCACAGTACCATGGCAACTACAGCAGTAGGCTGAACTATCTTCTGAAATCCCTTGAAAGACTGTCTACTTCTAGCAAGATCCTGTTGTGCTGCATAATAAACCACATTGCCAGACAAGACCAGCACGATTCACCCACGTTTATTCTGCGACGTCAGGTACAATCGACCTCCACTTGCAGCACAGCTTGATGTTGGTAGCCAGTCTCACTGCATTCCAGGCAGGACAGCCACCTCAGCTGAGAAGCCTGCAAATGCACAGTCATGTTGCACAGTCATGTTTGGCCATACAGCCTCCAGAGGCATTGACATGTTGACA